ACCCGGCCTTCTTGGAGTCCCTGGGAGGGGTGCTGGAAAAGGCCCCGACTGGGGCCTTCGTTGTTCTACTGGGGGACTTCAACGCCCACGTGGGCAGCGACAGTGATGCCTGGAGGGGCGTGATTGGGATTGCCCAAAACATCCATATGAACTGCAGCCATAATTAGTAGGCACCTACATAAGGAACTGTTACAAAGCAATGTTTGCTAAAAAGTCACACACTGCTTGCCTGTAAATTGTTTGTATATTATGTATATTAACATGCATTCAACTGAATACAACGAGTCGGCCTATTTAGTGCTTAATTTGTAGATTATTGTATTATTGTCCTGGAATATCACTTGGTGACATACCCAGCGTGTCATTGTGGGGAGAGGAGGACCTGGAATGAAAACATTTTCTCAGTGACATTAATGGTAGAGCACCTTAGAGGCAAAACGTTAGATGTTGTGTGTTTGTAGCAGCCAGAAAATCACACAAGAAGACATGCATTGCCAAGTGTGAGTTATAAATGCCACAGTGAGCTGGGTCAGTTTGGATGGCGTTGAATGTCGAGCTGAAGTCCACAAAGACCCGTGCATAGGTCCCTGAGGAGTCGAGGTGTTGCAGGATGTAATGCAGTGTCACATTCACTGCATCGTCCAATGACCTGTTTGCTATGTCTGTACATTCATCAGGGAAATCCACTGTGGAATTTGAGTGTGTCAAAGGAACAGATCTGATCCTGATCCACTCCAACAAACTCAACTACACCAAGCTGGACAACACACACATTGCCAGTCTTATCACTTCAGGTAGTATACACACATGCAGGGAGAGAGTGCTATCAGTGCAAGCCAGGATATCCTCTGTCTCTTCAATATTAGCTTTTCATAAACGCATGCAATACTGACTTTTTAAGTAAAGGTAATTTATTACCTTATCTAGCTCAGGTTATTTGCATAAATATATCACAGTATTAAAAATCTGAGTGAAAATTATTGAATGAAAACAAATATTAAAAGCTTTTTTATCATTTTCACCATTTGACAGCTTGAAGAAAAATTACTAAAGTTCAGCATTTCAGTTTTAAGTGGGTGTCTCTGGTTATTGATACGCATCATTAATGCTTTACATTTTTAGTAGGACTTGGCATAACATTTCCCATGCTACTTTTCCCCGTCACTTGTATTTCTTTTTCAAGGTGATGGGTCTGCTCCCAGCATTAAGTCCTCCTGGCTGCAGCCTAAGACCCAGTATCTGGTTATCCAGCTGAATAGTCAGTTATTTCATGGACAGAAGTATCGGCTGTACACTGAGTTCACTGGAGAACTAGCTGACGACTTAGCAGGCTTTTACAGGAGTGAACATGAAGAAGGGGGAGTCCGAAAGTAAGTTCTTCATTCTGTGTCCCTCTATATCTACATTCACAAGAAAAAGTGATGGCACTGTTTGCAATTTCCTGGTTTTCTGCATAAATTGGTCATGACCTGTGATCTGATCTTCACTAAAGTCACAAATATCAACAAGCACAACATATCTAAGCTGATAAAACACAAACAGCCATGATCTTTCATATCTTCATTGAATATACCTGTTAAACATACAAAGTGATGGTGGCAACACGAGGCTTCTGATGTCACTAAATGTCAACTGGAGACAGGTGTTAGCAAACCTGGAGTCCAACCAATGAAATGAGAATGTAGAATAACCTCAAAAGTACCATTCACACCATCCATCCTAATAATATGGCTGAACTGAAGCAGCTCTGTAGGAAGAATGGTCCAAACCTCCTCTTGAATGTTGTCCAGGTCTAATCCACAGCTACAGAAAGCATTGGCTTGAGGTTATTGCTGCCAAAGGTGGATCAACCAGTTATTAAAACACTGTTGCAGTTATTTTTTCCACCATCACTTTGTGTTTAATGGGTGTAAAGACATGAAAGATCAGGACTGTTTGTGTTTTATCAGCTTAGAAATACTGTGTTTGGTGATATTTGTGACGTTGGTGAAGATCAGATAACATTTAATTAACAATTTTGTTTATTTGCATTGTGCTTTGATCATTCATAGAATTGTTGCCACCTCTCAGATGCATCCAACTCATGCCAGAAAAACCTTCCCTTGTTTTGATGAGCCAGCTATGAAAGCTGCTTTCTATATTACACTCATTCACCCCCGTGGAACTGTAGCCCTGTCCAATGGCATGGAGAAAGGTAAGTGCAGTCTACAATTGAAATGATCAATTTTTGTTTTGCATGCAATAAAAATGTGCAGCAATGGTAATGTGGTACTGTGATAGCAGATGTCAGTAAAAGGTACCATGTCTAAACTGGAACTCGTATCGTAAAACCTAAACTGAGCACATGAGTGATGTTTACATTTATAAATATAAATCAATCAAAAAAATGACAATTCTCCTAAAATCTCTTTTTTCAAAATTTCAAATGGGAAAATTGGGATCCTGACACTCAATAAGCCATCATATACAGAAAGCATTTGTCACTGTTAGGTCCATTATCCAAATATCAGTTTAAGATACTATATTTCTGTAAGTTAAGCTAAAGCATTTTGATAATATGCCAAAGTTTGTGTTATAAATCAGAAAACTATGCAGTAACAAGTTTGCAAATGCCTTAGCTAACTATAGTTGAGGTACAGGGATCACACCATTGGAGCTTTCATACAGTCTAAATTGCTAAAATTTTTTGATTTAGTGGGATATAAGACTGCAGTGTTTATGTATAAAGCCAGGAACAATTTATTACCTGGTGGAATTCAAAAACTATTTAATGAAAGGGAAGGGGGATACAATTTAAGGGGTCAGTTAAATTTAAAAATTCATGCTATACGTACAACCAAAAAAAGATTTTGTATTTCCATAAGTGGGGTAAAACTATGGAATAATTTAAGTGTGGACATAAAAAATAGTAATAGAATTGACGAGTTTAAACATAAATATAAAGGTATGTGTCAATCAAGATATATGCAAGAACAGGCTCAATGATTAATTACATGGACAATTGTGGGTGTGGTGTACATTTTGTAATAATTCTTTAGTATATTACTTGTGTGATGTAAGAATGTTAACATTGTTATAATCTTTTTTTAGTATAATATGTGTGTGGGTAGAAGTGAATCATTTACTGCTTGCAAACCAATGATGGTAAGCATAAGGCTAGTATAACAAAATAAGCAGTATTAACAGCAACAAACAGTGCAAACAATGCAAAATAAGCAGTATAAACAGGCAGTAAACAATGCAGACAATGCAGAATGTTAACATTCTAACAGCTGACTTGTCCCATTATCATTTTAGTTATCAGCTATACCCCACCTACCCTGTAGATTTGGTTCTATTTTGGAAATAGTCTTCCCTTCTGTTGTGGTTTGGCAGGATAGTGTAGTTAGCTAAGGCACCTGCAAACATGCTGACTATGGATCCCTGTTTCCCTGTTGATCCTGCTAATGCCACACATTGTATCCTTTTTGTCTTCTTAAAGCTTTGGTGTTTTTTGTTCCTTAGCTTTTAAACTCGGTAGTGCATCCTGACACACAGCAGCTTTTAGGCATTTTTAATTTTTTGAAAAAAGATCGAAATGTCAAAGACACCTTCACTCAATACAAAGTCAAAGGGGATCGAGGAATTGCCCCAAGCAGTGGGCGTAGTTTTCAGAGTACGATGCGATGCTCTCAAAAAGTTAGCCACAATAATTTATGGTTTTATAAAAAGATTAAAGGATGTTTGTGCAAATTCTCAGTCATCCAGGTCATATTATTCTGAAAAAACTTAGAAGAAGGCATCTGGATGTAATTTTTTGTTAGAAGACTCAATCCAAGAAGCTTTCGCCTGTCATCCAAGAGGCTTCATCAGTTCTGTCGGTATTTTTCCCACCGGGTGATATTTCAGTCCTTCGACGGTCAACAATGTCCCCTAACAACTTAGTCGTTGGGGGCTGGTAGCAGTGACAAAGACAGGTAATGACTCTCACCAATACTCTTTCTTGCAAGACTTGTTTTCCAACTATGTGAAGTCTTATGCAATAGTTAATGGATTTCTTTGAATGGTCATTATCTTCAGGCAGTTTGAATCAGGGTTGCATCAGGAAGGGCATCTGGCATGAAAAACGTGCCAGATGTCAACATGCGAGTCCTCAGTGTGACGATTCGCTGTGGCGACCCCTAAATGGGAAAAGCCAAAAGTGACTTTCTTACCTATCTATGGAGGAGAATTTCACATTAATTAATGCTGTCTTGGTTTGTTGTGCTGTCCACTTTCATAATCTGGCTCGAACATGTCAGGTAATATTTGAGTTATTGTCATTGTCAAAAACGTAGCTTATTTGTCAAAGTTCTTTTGTTTATGCTTTGTCATGGCTTGCTGACTGGCAACAGGAGTTGTGCATGTTTATGAACTATCCTCTCATTTTGAGGAGGAGGCTCTCCGATATCAGGCTTTATTGTTCTGAAATAATTACAGACTATTTGAAGTTATGATGGGTGCAAAGCTAGTCTAGAGGCACCCAAGATTAAACATTAAATGGCTGGAAATGAGAATGCCATGGGTGGTTTAAAATTGGGAATAAAAGTGAATGTTTCTGTCCATAGATAAGTTTAGGAATGCGAATCCTGCACTTTTGTCCTCTTAAAGCAAAGTTTGAGAAGTAGGTGGTGCTTAGGGCATATCATGAATCAGTTTGACAGGTGAAATATCCTACATTTCGTTTGCACCTCCAAATCTGAGGCCCGGGTTTTCTGCCAGAAAACTGTGGATTTCTCCTTTTGAGTTGTGAATCAGTTGCTGCCCTGTTACGACTGTGTGTAACTGTGTGTTGGTGCCCTCTTCAGATATTGTTGACACCACTATTGATGGAATAGAGGTAACAAAAACCACATTTGAGCCCACCAGGAATATGTCCACCTATCTACTGGCTATCGTCGTCTCTGACTACATATACGTCAATGCTACACAAGGAGACATTCTGGTAACTGTCTATGGCATTACTTTAAGCGTTATCACTTTGATGAAGTGGTTCCCAAACTGAGGGCCACAATAATGTTTTAACTAAAGTTAAATAGACCCTGTTCACAGCAGGCATTATGATCTGTCAAACAAAGATTTTTATCATGTATATGTCTACACTGCAGTGCAGTTACTACTAACTCAGAGCCACTATTATTTTAATCAAATTTCCAGCTTTGAAAAAGGTCTATAAATCTGATTAATTAGCTAACAACAGAGAATGTTCCAAAGCTAGCAAGGCTGTCACAGTTCAGGTTAGCAAGATGTATTCAGATAGCAAATTGACATGTGGAGCACAAAATGGACAGATGTCTGACAGGAGTTAAAGAAAACCCTAGCCCATCTTTGTCAAAGGTTTACCTTTTGTCCCTACTTGAGTTTAACCTGCATTTTGCATCAGAGGTTAATTATAAAATACAGTAAACAGTTTACCAGTTGTTGAGTTACCTGTCAGGAATAAATTACTTTCTATCTACACAGTGGGGCATGACAGGAAAGGTTTATGAACAACTTCTATACAGAATACAATTTGAAATTTTTATTAGTGCAAAATGACAGTATACTGTACAACAATATTAAACATACAATCTGTGTCAGTAAATATAAGGACTATTGTCTGTGCAGATTCTCAGTCATCCAGGTCATAGCAAACTGAAAAAAACTTAGAAAAAATCAACTGGACTAGATTTCTAGGTCGAAGACGTTTCACCTCTCATCCAAGAGGCTTCATCAGTTCTGACTGACTAGTGTTGAGCTGGAGATATTTATCCCCCTCGGTGGTGTTTCAGTCCTTTGATGGCCAACAAACTCAAAGGACTGAAACACCACCGAGGGGGATAAATATCTCCAGCTCAACACTAGTCAGTCAGAACTGATGAAGCCTCTTGGATGAGAGGTGAAACGTCTTCGACCTAGAAATCTAGTCCAGTTGATTTTTTTTCTAGGTTTTTTCAGTATAAGGACTATTGTAACTTTCCTTTAAAGTACAAAACTGAATTGGTCAAGACTGTGGTTCCTGCATCTACCAGAGTTCTAGGGTTCTGGTCTCTGTATCAGTTTTAATACCTTAAATATTTCATTTGATATTATTCTTACAACACATGCAAAGTGGCATACAGGCAGCTGGGAGAGTATAGTGGTCCAGTGTAAAAATGCTGGTTAAATCAATGTGATGCATTTTCATTTAATGGAAGCAGCAACCTCAGAATCTCCTGGATCATTCAGGAGATTCTGGAATGGTTGGACTGAAGTTACTGATTGATTTTCAAACTCTGTAATATTTTAGAGAATAGTAAAAAAAAAAAAACTTTGCAGGGCCCAAGGTGACATCTTTAAATAAGACACAAACATATTCAATTTACAGTAATAAGGACTGTGATTATCAAAGATATTGTCAATTAATATTTTATTCAGCAATTATTTGATTAACTGACAATCTATCACAAACAAAATGTAGGTAATTAGCTATCTATTGCTATCTTCTGTGTTGCTAACACAAAGGTGTTTTCTGTATATTTTGTAAATAAGCCCGTAAGTTTGTAGAACAATACACACAGGAGTTTTCTGTTATGTTTTCAGGTACGTATCTGGGCTTCCAGGACAGCCATTGAGCAGGGACAGGGAAACTACGCCCTCAATGTAACTGGACCTATACTGGACTTTTTCCAGTTGTACTATAACATCTCCTACCCTCTGTGCAAGGCAGGTGGGTCTGCTTTCAGAAAGCCTCTTAGTGGAAGGAAGTAGATGTCTAACTTACAAATTAAACCTAAAACCTGTTAACTTGCCTTTTAAATCAACGCTGTCTTCAACCCAAAGCCAATGTGAATCTAAGGGGGTCCTTTACTTATTTGATTTGGGAAATGAAATGTTGTTCACTGACTGTGAGTAAGGAAGTCTGTTAGCTGTCAGCTCCTCTCCATTGGCAACAAGGCAAAAGCCTCAGCCCCTCATCCGCAGATGTCCCACTCCAAATAGCAGGATAACACACAAGCAGCAGATCTGAATTTATACAAGAGACCAGGACCACCTTTTCAGTGCTAACCTGAGGCTTTACAGTGTGAAAAATCCATTACTCACAGTCATTGTGCCCTGTCACTTCACTGGTTTGAGGTACTGGGACACTGTTGTTGCTATAAAGCCATTTGTTATCAAGTTTTGCAAAATCTTGGTAAAGACAGAGATCTCAATTCCTGGTATTCATCCTCATAGTTACTTGCTTTAGTTAATCCATAAATATTTTTCTATTTCTGGGCATTTGGATAAAATGTGTACTACATTTTGGATAGGCCTTTCTTTGTCTGAGATTCCATCAGTTTAGACTTTTACCTCAGCCCTCGCTGTGGCATATCCCACCCTAATATATGTTTTTCAGAGAAAATAACTAAATTAGCAAGATTTTTACTGCTGCCCCAGTCACTAAGTGGTTGATGGAATATGGTCGCTCTGCTCTCGCCACTTGAGGGAGGTCAGGAAATGTTTCTCTTAATACAGTATAGGTGAACCACAGGTTTAAGGCCGGGGGGTATACTGGTATGATTCTAACTTCAGAACCTTTGACCTGCATTAACCTGCCTTACAGACCAAATCGCTCTACCCGACTTCTATTTTGGTGCAATGGAGAACTGGGGTTTGGTGACATACAGAGAAACCAACCTTCTCTACGACCCTGTGACCTCCTCCGTCAGAAATAAAGAGACCACTGCCACTATCATTGCTCATGAGCTAGCACACATGGTGAGCTTTTCGTTGTATTCTATATTTTGATTGATTTACTCATTGATTAGTCAACAAATTAAATGATGTCATCTCTGGTGCAGTGGTTTGGTAACCTGGTGACCCTGCACTGGTGGAATGAGGTCTGGCTGAATGAGGGCTTTGCTTCCTATGTGTCTTACTTGGGAGCAAATCACACAGAGCCCACATGGAATGTGGTGAGGATAGAATGTTGTATGCCCTCAAACCTCACTCGATGCCATCTTAACAATACAATGAATTGAATGAAATAATCTTAATACATTTCTGTGTCTGTTTGCTCCAGAAAGACTTGATAATAATTGATGACATCCACAGAGTGTTTGCAGTTGATGCCCTGGCCTCCTCTCACCCTCTGTCTTCTAATGAAGACAGTGTCGTCCTCCCAGACCAAATCAATGAACAATTTGATGTCATCTCATACAGCAAGGTACATGGCCATCAGAAGGATTTTCTTATGTAATTCATTATGGCATGGAGACATCACAGCTTGTGATGTCATCTGTCAAAAGTTGCAGCAGAAGCCAGTAAATGAACTTTGAAAATGAAACTGGATGAGTCATCATTGAGTTATTGATGGTGTTCAGCTACTGTAAACTTGAATTGTAAATGCTATGCAAATTATTTCACTCTACACCAGAAAATGTAAACTTATTGCCATGTTAGTTCTTAAGCTGATTGGCAGATCGATCCCTAACCCTTTTGTGTGTCTGTGGCTCCTCAGGGTGCAGCGGTGCTGAGGATGCTGTCTGATTTTCTTTCAGAGCCAGTCTTTGTCCAAGGACTCAATGTATGTTTGTCCCCATTTTTCTTGGAACATATGTGTAGAAATGAAACAAATTGCTGAGATGAATTGCTATATGTACTGTGATTTGACCACAGGTAAGAACTGCTGATTACAGAATTTTGAAATGGATTGTGTCTTCTTTTGCCTCCAGAGTTACCTCAGTCACTTTGCCTACAGAAATACAGCAGGAAATGATTTGTGGCACCATCTACAAATGGTAAAGAAAATTTCTAATTTTTATTTCCAAAAATGTTATGGTTTTAACTGTGCAAGATTTGTTTTAAAACAAAACTGTTATCTGCACATACTGCTATAGGACTGATGTAGATTGATTTAATATTTTAAATCCTTCACTGGGTATTCTGCAAATTAAATGGCGAAGTCTAGTGGTTTCATTAATATAACAGATAATCGAGGTGACTGAGGACATCCTTGGCTACTTGTGACTTTCTTACTTTGCAAGTGATGCAGAATCAGGGCACCTGATACTGTTTTTAAAGGGAATGGGAGGAATGCATGTGACTGTTTTTTCTGAAACTCACCCTAAAACTAGTCTACAATGCCAAGAATCTGCATGCCCAGGTCCCCAGCCTTGTCTGCCACTCAGCTTACACTGTACCCAACCTCAGCATCAGCTTTATTGGCCAGGTGTGACGGACACACGAGGAATTTGACTCAGGTACATCGGCTCTCAATGTGCAAAACAGTAAACCAGCATAAGGCTGTGTAATATAACAAAATAGCAGTATTAACATCAACAACCAGTGCAAACAATACAGAAAAAGCAGTATAAACAGATAGTAAACAATGCAGACAACAAAGGAATGTTCATTAAAATGACATAACTAGGAATAAAAAATAGAGTACTTAAAACAAAGTACTAGAGACCTGTATGAGTCTGTATAATCTGTACAGTGTATAGATATATATATACACACACAGGTATTGCACTGAGGGTTACTGTCTAATCATGGTTAAATGGACTGTATTTTATATAGCACTTTTCTCACAGTGTGTTGCACTGGCCAAAGCGCTTTACAGAGGATCATACACCATTCACACACACCAATGACGACAGGCTGCCACGTAACGGCGCTAGTCAAGCCACCGGGAGCAATTCAGGGTTCAGTGTCTTGCTCAGGCACACTTAGGCATGCAGGGGGTACCGGGAGTTGAACCACCAACTTGCTGGTCAGGAGACAACTGCCCTACGTCATGAGCCATAGCCACCCCAATCATACTGTCGTGGGTTAAGTGTTCATCAGAGCGACAGCTTGGAGGAAGAAACTGTCCCTTTGCGTGGTTGTCTTGGTGCACAGTGACCTGTAACGCCGTCCAGAGGGGAGGAGTTCAAACAGATTGTATCCGGGGTGTGAGGGCTCTGCAGTGATCCTCTCCACCCTCCTTTTGACCCGTGAGGTGTACAGGTCCTCCATGGAGGGCAGGCTCACACCAATGATCTTTTCTGCAGTCCTCACTATCCGCTGAAGTCTGTACTTGTCCTGTTTGGTTGCTGAGCCAAATCAGACAGTGATGGAGGTGCAGAGAACAGACTCAATGATTCCTCTGTAGAACTGTATCAGCAGCTCCTGGGGCAGGGCAAACTTCCTGCACTGGCGTAGGAAGTACATCCTCTGCTGTGCCTTCTTGGTGATGGTCCTGATGTTGGACGTCCACTTCAGGTCCTGGGAGATAGTGGAGCCCAGGAACTTGAAGGACTTTACTGCTGATATAGTGCTGCCAAGTATGGTGAGTGGGGGCAAGGTGGGGGGATCTTCCTGAAGTCCACTGTCATCTCCATTGTTTTGAGTGTGTTGAGCTCCAGGTTGTTGCGGCTACACCACAGGACTAGCTGCTCAACTTCCCGTCTGTAGACTGACTCGTCATTGTCTCGGATGAGACCAATGACCATTGTGTCATCTGCAGACTTTAGGACCTTGACAGAGGGGTCCTTCGCAGTGTAGTCGTTGGTGTAGAGTGAAAACAGCAGAGGGGAGAGTACACACCCCTAGGGGGCACCTGTGCTTATTGTCCGGGTGCTGGATGTGGTTTCCCCAGCCTCACTTGCTGCTCCCTGTCTGTCAGAAAGCTAGTAATCCACCGACAGGTGGGGGCAGGCACAATGAGCTAGGTCATTTTGGAGTGGAGGATGTCTGGGATGATGATGTTGAATGCCTAGCTGAAGTCCACAAAGAGGGCCTGTGCATAGGTCCCTGGGGAGTCGTGGGCCAATACCAGTCTTTCAAAGGACTTCATAACTACAGATGTCAGGGCGACAGGTCTGTAGTCGTTCAGTCCACTGATGGAGGTTTTCTTGGGGACTGGGATGATGGTGGAGCATTTGAAGCAGGAGGGGACTTCACACAGCTCCAGTGACCTGTTGAAGATAAGTGTGAAGATGGGGGCCAGCTGATCAGCGCACACTTTCAAGCAGGAGGGGGTCACACCATCTGGGCCTGGTGCCTTCCTGATCCTTTATCTTTTAAAAAGGCCATGCACATCCTTTTCACAGATCGTTAGAGGTGGGGGAGCTGGAGGGAAGGTGGTGATTGTTGGGGGAGCAGCTGCTGGGTCTGAGGTGGGGAGGGTGAGGGGGGACTGTTGATTGTCAAACCTGCAGTAGAACACATTCAGGTTGTTAGGTGCTAGTTGACGGTCCTCCACAGCAGGGGGAGTGGTTTTCTGTAGCCTCCCTGGGAAATCTTAAGCCATGGAGGCCCCAATGAACTGTTGATGACCAGTTCCTTTGGGGGTTATTGTGGGACTGGGGCTGTTGGTACTTATGGAACTAGAGTGAGTTCTGTTCATGTTCTCACCAACAGGTCAAGCACATTTCCATTGGGTATTGATTGTCCTTTGTCTCTAATCCCGTTTGTAATTTTCATGGACAGGACCTCCAGGTACAGTTGTGGGGAGGAGTTTGTCCCATTTGGCGACCTCAAAGTAATTTCTCGGCTTTTTGCAGATGATATTCTATTGGCTTTATCAGACTGAGGCTGCCAGTGTGGACTGGGGCAGCTGAGTGTGAAGTGGTCGGGATGAGAATCAACACCTCCAATTCTAAGGCCAAGGTTCTCTGCCAGAAAACAGTGGGTTCCTACCTTAAGGTTGGGAGTAAGTTTCTGCCCTAAGTGAAGGAGTTTAAGGGGCTACTTACCAAAGTTTTGTGGCTCATTTTCTGGTGCTAAGCAGAGACACTGTTTGTTCATATTTACTAAGGAATTGCAGTGGAGAAACAGAAGAAATGCGGCACTGTAAGAATTTGCACATTTGGTCTAATGCTGTAAGCATTTTAAGGTGTTCCCATTTAGGGACACAGAAATCATGGAGGAGAGAATGGAAATTTATACAAATACCCTCAGTGCATGATTTACCATTGCTGCTACAGAGGGAACCGTTGCTGAAACTTAACATCAGGAGAAAGGAGGTGTAAAATTTGTGGCCTGGCTGTCAGCATGGCAGCTTTTGGTCATCTGACATCTCTCCAGAGTTAAGAACAAGTTTGAGGAGTGAGAGGGTGTTAAATTAGTCATGAGAAAATTAAATGGAAAATTGAAAATATGTAATGAAAGTCTGAATACATGAAATGAAATTTGATGTCATCAAGATGAATGCGTCCTCCTTTGTTGTTGATGTGTACTGTTGGCCATATGGTCATGTAGCTACGAGCGGTGTCAGAATGACTAAATTCTTATTGATAATGGCTGAGATTGGAACCATTCACTCTTGGTGGAGGCTCTGATCAGAGGGCAGTTCCTACTTTGTTTTGTCCCCACAAACATTGTTAAAGAAGTAGTGGCAGCCCAGGCTGTTTTCAAAATTACCTTGTCATCGTAATAACTGTCTAATTTGCATTATCCAAAACGGTTCTAATCTGTAGATAAAGTTCCATAGTTAATACTGTCAATTTGTGCAAATATAAATTACCTAACTAACTACCATTACTGAATGACACACAAATAGCCAGGCCACCTGTCTGTAAGACATGCTAATGGTAGCTGGCCTAGCTTCAGCTCATTACGTTTTATGGTACCGTTTGGCTTTTATTTCTGGACCGTTAACGCTAACCAGCTGTTTATTTTTTATTTTATTTTATTAGTTGAGATACTGTACAGTAGGCTGTATCTTTTTCTAAAGTTATTGAGTCTGTCTGCACAAGTGTCTCTGGTTACATTGTGATTGTCAGTTTTTATGAATTCAGCTCACCTAATCACCCTCAATGATTCCTAGTCAATCTCTGCACAAAGTAAATGACCTGAATGCTGCTAATAAAAGCAGTGTTTGTATGAGGTGGAAAGAGAGACTTCAAACAATGAGCTGTGTTTGTTAAAGCAAAGGCTAATTAAATAATTTTTGACGAATACATAAGCACTGCTATAATGGCAATCGCTATCACAAAATAAATAACCAATGCTACATTAAAATAATAGGAGACTATTATGTCGATCACTTTACAGCTATAGTTAGTATGTACTAACTATAGTACTAGTACTAATGTTACTAGGTTGACTGAGTTATTTTTTTATATATCAGTGACAAAGTCTCTTAAAATAGTGACATTTAGTTGCCTTGACAATAGTGACAATTTTGATTTATTTTGGTTGCATTTCCCATCCTGAGCTGCCCCCACCAGAAGCAGCTCCACAGAGGACCTTTTCAAATGAGTAACTTACCAAGGAACCTAGTGATCCTGGCAATTGCATGGCTACAGCTCAGAGTAATATAGCACCTTAAACCGCACTCAACATCATGAGGAGGAAAAGAATTCACTGTTTTATATGTGGGGTGGAATGGACGTTTTTTTCTGTCACTATTAGCTTGATAGCCAGAAACAGGTAGACTGGTGAGACTCAATGCATTTGGCCTTTCACAAAGAAACAGTGAATACATGACCCCCTCAACCCCCTCTCACTGGGGTTACTTGTATTGTAGCATTCCAATAGTTCCCTGTTCTCCTCTCTTGTCCATGAATGTCTTGTTCCAGTAGCCCACTTCTCATCAGGTTGCCCTGGTTCCCCAACACCTGACGCGGACCTTGTTGACCCGGGCGATGTCCGAGCCAGTGCGACTCTTATTTTTCCAGCTCTCATTACCGGTGAGGTAGGCAGATAGCATTAAGGGCCTTGCCTAAGGACCCAGGTGGGATATTGACATGGTTGGTCTCTGGGTACTCCATAGTCCGTTAACTCTAAATTGTGTGAGTACGTGGTGGTCTACATGTCAGCCCTGTGATGGGCCGGTGTCCTGTGCAGGCTGTACCCCACCACTCGTCCAGTGTCAGCTGTGATAGGCTCCAGCCCCCCTGCGACCCTATTCAGGAATAAGCAGTATAGGTAATGGATGGATGGATCGATATACAGTATATATGTGTGTGTGTGTCTGTGTGTGTTTCACTTTTAAAACAATTCTCCTAGATACTTTCTGCAACCTTCATTAACAGGTGGTGAAATCCAAAAATGTTCCACTTCCTTGTCCAGTTGAGGACATCATGAACCGCTGGGTGCTCCAGATAGGCTTCCCTGTGGTTACCATAGATACTACCACAGGAAAGGTATCCCAGAAGCACTTTCTGCTGGATCCAGCATCAAACATCACAGTTCAATCACCTTACAAGTATGCAAAACTACAGTATTTTACTACAAATTATTTGTAAGCATTGTATTGTTTTATATTTGTATTTATTTTATTTTTGTTATTATAATTAAAATTTATGCATTAATTTTTTCATTTTAAGCAATTAAAGTTCACATTATTTATTCTATTCTAAAGCCAGCATCCAGAAATGTAAAACATCTAACTGGATATATGTGGCAATATCAAAAGACAAGTTTATATCTGGTTCTCCTCATTGCTTCTGTCTTATCATCCACTTTGACTTCAGTCAGCAATAAACATTAATTTCCTGCCCTAGCTATGAGTGGCTGATTCCTGTTAGGTGGATGAAGTCTGGTGAGGTCCAAAGAGATATCTGGTGGCTGATGAAAAAAGAAGGTGTGTAATAATGTGCAAGTATTATTATGTAATGCTTATAAAACTTAATCCTAACTTAATCTTAAAACTTGATAAAAACATCTACTGTAAAACTAATAAAACATGGTACTGTAAGTGCCAGTCTGTTACATAAACAGACTGCATGACAATACACTTGCCATCTTCGTTTTGCTCGTTTCCAGCCATTTAATGTTTAATCTTGGGTACCTCTAGATTAGCCTGGCACTCCTTATAACTCCAAATAGTTTGTAATTGTTTCAGAATCAGAGAGCCAAAAAGCTGCTTCCTTTTGGTGTTCCTTCATGAACGTGCACAACTCCTGCTGCTGGTGTTTTGTGGTGAAAGTGGAAAGCACAATGAACTGCGACAGCATTAATTAATGTGAATGCCTCCTCCATAGAAGGTAAACAACGGTATATGTACCGATGAAAAGAGATGTGTAACACTCTAAACAAAGTAGGTAGTTGAGAAACCCCATATTTTAACTGGCATAATACAGACATAGTAACTTCTCCAGCCTTACAACAATTCTCTCTAACATAACAGACACGCAATGTATGTTTTTTTTTTTAAACTTACCGTTAAGTCCCACCGAATAGTGGAAGGATCACTTCCTTTCAAGTAGCTCCAAGGTCGGTAAATCTAACCGGTGGTCACTGCGTCTTCCCCCACACGACCGCATACAGTCTCAAAGTAGTGAAAATAATTCCAACAGGTAGCGTAGCGCTGACAATAACATAATGGATCATTAATCCACTGGTTAACCACAACCACATCACATACGGCAGACACACTGGCCTCAAGCAGTCAAAACAAACAGATACTGTGCTCCAGGGGAATCCGGCGTTGATGAGCTGAACATTCACCGCCATGGGGGGCTTCACAGGCCAGCTGCTTGTAGGTTAGACCCAGTCGGGTAAAACAGTGAGTTTCCTGTACAGGAACATTCCTGGACGTGCAGTAACCTCAGGCCCTGGATATTTCCTCAACATCCTCTGGTGACAGTGCAGCAGCAGGAGAGAAAATATATCCACAAAACCAGGTGTAGTCGAACAATTCCGCTTTTACAATAGCACCGGTGGATGTCAGGCAAGCTAACATGAATGTGCAACTGCCTGGAGATTATGACCATTCAAGGAAATCCTTAAACTATCACATAAAACTATTTGGTTAGAAAAAAATATTGTGAACGAGAGTTTGTGAGATGTGTATAAACCCAGTTTCTGCATAGAAATACTAGAACATACTGTATGTTCACCTTATTTTTTGAGGTGTACGTATGTCACGTCTAAGATGATAATTCACTGTTGTAATGTAGATAAGTCAGAAAACAAGGAAAAGCGCCATGGACTCTTTAAATGACTAAATATAATTAAATTGTTTTATGGCTCTTTAATGTTTTACATTCTGTTTTGTCTGTCAGTGATAAACTTGGAGATGAGGAGTGGTGGTTCGTGGGTCCTGGCCAACATCAATGTAACTGGATATTATCGGGTAAACTATGACCTTGGAAACTGGGAAAGGCTCTTTACTCAACTTAATTCGGAGCACCAGGTACACTCTAGGCTGACTTTGATATTATGTTTTACTGCTTGGAGATTGTGTAGTAATAGATTGCTTTTTTTTTTTTTTAAACGCCTAAAATCTATTATGCAGATTATACCAGTGATAAACCGAGCTCAACTTATGGATGATGCTTTCAATATGGCCAGGTAGGTCAGTCTAGTTGTTCTGAGGTTTTGTTGCACCTTTTTTGTCATATAAATGTGCTTGCACTGAGTGACCGCAGTACATACACGGACTCTGAGCAGCAGCTCTTGAACTCATTCAGTTCAGCAGCCTCTCTCTCATCTACACTCTCCCATACCAGCATGTCACACAATGACCAGCGTTGCTCTTAGGAGATGTGCTCCCATCCTTGAGAATCTCTGATTTGGCATTTAAATCCACGTACAATAATTAGCCCACAAAATAACAGATGTATGTAGCTCGTGAGCAAATAACCCGTGTGCCATATCATATTAGATGCTTCATCGGCATGAATGTTGCCTCCATTCAAAGTACACTGTTCAAGGTAAAAGGGGCCAGTTGCAGACTTTCTCTGAAAACTGCAGGAACTGCAAAGACTTTAATCGCAAAAGTGAACCTTAAAACAGCAACCCCTGAGCCCTGAGAGGAGAAGTAAAGGACAGAAAAAGATGAGGGCAGTGTCAAACTTTTAGTAGTTTTTACTTGGCATGCAATTTGTTTTATGATTAGGACTGATATCGCCTAACAAAACTGATTATGATTATTGATTATTTTGGACCACCAGCTTTTGCTCTTCTTGATGTTTCTTGCATTTTTTCCCCTCAAGGATTTGTGAGGGAGTTTTTCTTTGATTAGTGGGTCATTGCACAGAGGGTGTCATTTGCTTGAGGCAAATTAGTGATTTTTGATATTGGCTTATATAAATAAAATGACTTTTCTGCTAGATAAAATCTTATGGGATGACAAAAAAATGTTTCTGTGGACCTAATTCTTGGAAGAACAGATTAATTGACATTGCCACTATTAGGCCAACGTGCATAAAATATATGCACAATTCATCCTTCTATACACAAAAGCATTCTTTCACCAATACAAATAAAATAAAGCAAAATTTCTATAAGTACTGTATATTCACGTCATTGTATTGGGGTACAGACAAAAATCCCTAGGTATCTGTCCCAGGGACAGATACAGTTCTTTGTATTTATATTAAATAATCTAAACCCTGTTTATCTCTCCTGTGCAGGGCTCAGGTGGTCTCCACGACCCTTGCTTTGAGAACAACCTCCTATCTGTTAGCAGAGACAGAATACATCCCCTGGCAGTCTGCTCTGGACAATCTGCATTATTACTACCTTATGCTGGACCGTACTGAAGTCTATCAGCCTTTGCAGGTATGCTACATTATTTATGTAGGTCAGTGACCAAAATTTTTCAAAGCTTTGCTATTGTAGAATTTTAGTACCTCACAGCAGTTGCCTGGATATTTCAAATGGATTACTTCTTACAGTATGTTCATGGTTAGTCTTTATGCTCGCAAGTGGCCATTAAGAAGTAAAGCAGATAAACCAGCATCCTGTACTTACCTCTCCATAATACTTCCAGGACTACATGAAGAAGCTGGTGACTCCTCTCTTCCAGCACTTCAAGAGCATGACATCAAATTGGACTCGTGTTCCTGACAGACTCACTGACCAGTGAGTCTACTCACCTGGTTACACAGTCTCACAACAGCACACAAAAACAGAAAGCTAAAAATAGTCATGGCCAAAAATACTGGCACCCCTGCATTCCTGTCAGATAACACACCACTTCTCCCAGAACATTGTTGAAATCACAAATTCTGTGGTATCCTCGTGTCTATTTCTTTTGTTTGCACTGGAACAACACAAAAGCAGAGAAAAGTGCAAATCTGATCCAGTCCACGCAGAACTGCAAACATGGGATGGACAGAATTATGTCAGGGGTGCCCGATACCACTATCAGCCAGGTTAATTGATGGACTCCATTATAATGCCAGATGAGTAAAGGTAAACGCAGTCACTTAATTGTGATCACAAACTGATCACTACAACCTACGTAAACACAAAAAGCACTCACAGGTCAGGAATACAGTCCAAGGTCAGAACTAGCAAACTCACACAGCCAAGAGATCAGCAAGGGATCAGAGAGGGAAGTCCGATAGCCAAATACCAGGAAAGCAGTCAAAAACAGAAGGGCAAGGGAATTTTTGGTTGTCAAAGGCAATCTGATGTCATAACAAAAAATACAGGCACGAGAAGAAATGCTGGAAAGTCTGAACATGGGTCTAGAACAATCTGGCAACTTTCCGGTGGAGGGAAAACTGCTAATAATGGGGTGAAAACAGGTGTAAACAATTGAGTATGGATTAAAGTAAAAAGTCTGTAACTGAGATATGGCTAAACAGGAAGTTATGTCAAAATAAAAGCATGCGACCAGAAACAGGCGGAGCAGAAACACGACAGAATTACTGAAACCCTCAGCTTAATATCTGGTAGCCCACACTTTGGACAAAATAACTGAAATCAGTGACTTCCTGTAACCATCAATGAGTTTCTTCCACCTCTCTTCTGGAATTTTGGATCACTCTTCGTATAGGCTCTAAAGATTTCCGGGTTGCAAGCGAGAGCTGATGTTTTTACTCTACTCTATCCCTCACACATGCACAGTCCTGAAGAGATTCTTTCGTGCCCTGTGCCCTGCACTGGGCTGTCCTCACACAGGTCTGCTGTAGTGGCATAAAAGCCGGTGTGACCTGTGATCAGCTCCTTCTTTTTCTTCACAGTTCTAAGAGCATTCTAAGGGGCATTCCTATGGCTAAAGAGTAAGGATCCTCCAGCACCGAACTCTGATGCTGCCCCGCCATCACTGCTGCGACACGGGCTTCATTATACCCAGCAACCTGCACCCCCGCCGTGAGGCCTGCCTCGGCGCCGAACTGGCCCTCTCTCCTCAGGCCAATTGCCCCTTCCGCACCTGCCTGCCTGCGGCAAAAAAGCAGCGGAGAACGGTCGCTCTTCGCTGCTGCTGCAGAACAAGACCCAGATGACGCATCACCGGGCTACCCGTGATGATGATTCTATAGCGGACAATCCCCTGGAGTTCCTGGGTGTAAGTGGGCCCGGATCTGTTGACTCGCTTCCCACTATAGCTGGCTCCCCCAGCAACCCGCACCCCCGCTGCGAGGCCTGCCTCAGCGCCGACCATGCCTACCTGGCCCTCTCTCCTCAGGCCAAGTGCCCCTTCCGTACCTGCCTGCCTGTCTGTTGACTTGCTTCCCACTACAGCTGGCTCCCTCGGCTCTCCCACCAACCCTCTGGTTAACGTGGGCACCAGCGGAGACGGGCTTCCTCAAACCCCCCCCCCAGCCAGCCTCACACATTCGGTGCTCTGCTCCATGACTTGCTGGAGATTATCATAAAGGTAGGTTGTAAGGGCATCTCTCATCCCGCGGATAGCCCCCCCAACCGATTTCTACAAACCAGAGCAGTGAACTAAGCATCCCTTGATTTGGCCCAGGTTCCCCACCATTTGGCCCTTTTTCTCCAAAGTGGTGGAACAGCCTGGGGGCTTGCGGGCTCCAGCCATTCAGAGTTGAGGGGATGACTGATCTCAGCTTTCTCGCTGTCCCGCCGCCGGAAATGAGTATTTCCTCCATCCTGCTCCCCAAGGCAGTGTTTTTCAGCAAATGGCGGCCCACACCTCCACTGCCCCGAGATCAAGTGACCGCCTAGCTCATGGACCGCATTCAGCAGTGCGCCTCCCAGGCCGGAGTGGCATTCAATAACATTGCTCTCCTTTCTTCATCTGTGTCCTCCCTCGCTGCCCAGCCCAAGGCCCTCCCCACAGAGGCAGTGGAGGAGATTGACAAGGCCATGGCTGCAGTGGAAGACAGCGTCAGCGCTGCACAGTTCACATCCAGGCGTGGTCCACGATGGTTCAGCGCAACATGTGGCTTCATATTGTATGTCCCTGATGCCTTTGACAGACTGCTGTTTCCTGCTTCTGTGGTAACCGTATTCATTTTCTGTTTTTGGTGCCTGCACTGTGTGCTTGCTCCCAGATTGTTTAGGAATTAAACTTTGTTTCTAAGTTCATCTGAATTTTTGAGTAACAACATACGCTTGCACCACTTAAGCACTTGTGTTGCAGAAGTTCTTGCTAATTACCAGATTTAATTTGATACTTTTGGTCGGCTAGCTTAGAAGCCAGCTAGGCTTGTAGCTTAATTGAGAGCAATGGCTTAACCCCAGTTCCTCTCCTCCTTTCTCAAAAAACTATAGGCCAATATCAAAGCTCCCTTTCATGTCAAAAATCCTGGAAAAAGCGGTAGCAGGACAGCTGATCGCTTATATGGAACAGAATAAATTGTTTGACGATTTTCAGTCAGGGTTTTGTAAAATGCACTCTACTGAGACTGCCTTACTTAAAGTCTCAAACGACATAAGGATGGCCGCAGACTCTGATCGTTATACTGTCCTCATTGTATTAGACTTGACATCTGCTTTTGACACTGTGGACCATGGAACTCTGATAAAGCGCCTTCAGTCGTTGGGATTTTCTGGGACTGTCCTGAGGTGGTTCTCTTCCTACCTTAGTGATCGAACTTTTAATGTGACTATTAATAACATCATGTCTGGAGTGGCTGCTTTGTCCTGTGGAGTTCCACAAGGGTCGGTCCTGGGTCCTCTTTTGTTTTTACTATATATATATATCCACTGGGTCAGATTATCCGGCGCTTTGACAATGTGTCTTATCATCTTTATGCAGATGATCTTCAAATTTATTGTTCTTTTAATGATTCAGAGTTTCACCTATTAGCGATATTATTAGAGTGCTTGTCGTCCATTAAGATCTGGCTCAACAATAATTATCTTCACATAAATTCTAACAAGACTGAAACACTTATTGTGGCACCTGATAGTAAGATTGCCGGAATTAAACAACACCTTGGCTTCCTGGGCTCCTCCGTCCAGTTGAGCCTTCGAAGCCTTGGTGTTGTGTTGGACCAGGCAATGTCCTTTGACTGTCATATAAGACAGTTAGTCAGGAATTGCTTCTTTCATTTGAGAAATATATCTAAATTAAGGAAGATTTTATCTAAGGGAGATCTTGAAATGATTATTCATGCTTTTGTTTCTTCACGCATTGATTATTGCAACTCTCTTTTTACCTGTTGTAATAAGTCCACTTTAAATCGTCTTCAGATGGTCCAGAATGCAGCTGCGAGGCTCCTGACAGGAACCTCTAGAACAGCTCATATCACCCCAGTTTTGTATTCGCTCCACTGGTTACCAGTCAAAGCTAGAATCGATTTTAAAATCTTAGTGCTGACATTTAGAGCACTACATGGGCAGGTGCCTCAGTACATTATCGATCTGCTGACCCCATACTCCCCCAAACGTACTCTCCGGTCTGCAAACCAACCTCTTTTGGTGGTCCCCAAAACT